GCCCGTTGGTTATAAAGACAGCTAAATACTTATTAAAAAATATTCTCTATTCCCCTTGAACTTATTTCCGTTTCCCAGTGAAACACCCTGTATAATAATATTAATTATTACAAAAAGTTTGTTTCTCATAATTTGGTTATTAATCAGTCAGTGACATCCAAAAAATATAGACTATTCGTACTTACTTAGTATCAGAGGATATCTTTTCACAATCGTCAGGAAGATTCAAAGTACTTGCCAGAGATCTAAAAGAAATAAGTCTATTACAATAATATAAAAAATATTAAATTCACAACAAAATTATTATCTAAAACTCTAAATCAGTTGTTTTGTTCCTTTTTTTTTAATACTAAATAATAATAATATAAATTTTCTGGTCTATTAGTTATAAAGGCAGCAAATTACTTATTAAAAAATATTCCCTATTCCCCTTCAACTTATTTCCGTTTCCCAGTGAAACACCCTGTATAATAATATTAATAATTACAAAAAGTGTGTTTCTTATAATTTTGTTATTAATCAGCCAGTGGCATCCAAAAAATATATACTAATCGCACTTACTTAGTATCAGGGGATATCTTTTCACAGTCAGGAAGATTCAAAGTACTTGCCACAGATCTGTAAAAAATAAGTTAATTACAATAATATGAAAAATATTAAATTCACATCCAAATTATTACCTAAAACTCTAAATTAGTTATTTTGTGCTTAAGTTTTTTAGTTACTATTACTTAATATGAATTTTCACGTAATCGAAATAAAATTTTATTTACAATTAGGTCGTACAACTCTAATTTCAGATGCTATATGATCCCTATTATATGATCAATTCTTAAAATTTTATTAAGGCAACATTATCAAAATGATTGTTTTTACTATTAGATTTAAAACTAACTAATAAAAAAACGGGTATGCACTTACCTTATAAAATTCCATCCTCTTTTATTTTTAAGTTTGGGAGGCATATTAAAAAATTATATATTTTAATTTTAAAACACGATCACAAATAAATACCACTATTCCCAATCAATGAATCAATGCTATACGTACAATGCATAAACCTATCGCCTACCGATAAATATATAAGTGTATCGTAATATGACAACACTGAAGAGTGCGCAATTCTTCTGCAAATAAAACGTGATGGCTCCACCTAACAAATGGAAGCGGAACTAAGAATATAATCTACAACTGCAGGTTACTTTGTTGCAAGATCATTCGTTTTCATCGAATACACTAATGCCATCTAACGAGTCAGAAACCGCTTAGTAGGAGGGTCCATATAAACCTTAAACTAAGATTGCATTTTAACCGTCTATTTTAACTGTCTATTGACAAATACAACTGCAACACACATTCTTTTGGAATGAAAATTCATCTTGAGCTGTGATTTGATGTCTTTTCTATGTCTTCTAATGATGTAGAAATTTGGTGAAAAGCCTTGGTCAGATCAATTTTTTAAATATTTTTTTTGTTTTTAAGATGTATCGTAAAATCTTTCATATTTGGAATCGGGTAACGAACAGGTACAATTTTGATGTTTAAGAGACGGTAATCTCCATAGGCTCTCCATTCGCCATTTGGTTTTCCACCCATATAAAAAGGCCTAGCCCCAAAGTAGTCCCAGATGTTGTAATTCCAAAGTGTAAAAGTATTTTATTTTATTGTCCCTTAGTCAAATTCTGTAGACAGCCTTTTAAAGTATTTGGTTGTTCACTAAATGAGATCTGAAAGTAATATGTTCTGCTGGATATGGTGGTGTAAACTCAAAGTCAAAATACACTTTCCCGCTTGCAATGTTTGCCGGTGTATTGAGTTCTGGAGTTGCATAACATCTTCCACTGATAATCGCTCCTTGTGCTTTTAAACTTGCTAGGTAGGAATTCACCCCTTCTATCACATCATCTATATAAGTTTTGGTGATATTTCGATCAACTGCCCATAGATGAGCCCGAAGTAGACTATCATTGATTAAATCCGCTGTTCTCCTTACTGACAAAAAAGCCCATTTCGAATCATCTGAGCACGTTCTGTTTCCCCAGAGCTTGTAGCCATTTTGATGAAATAAAAAGTTACGTTGATGCTCGCGGCCGGTCGTTTTGACCGACTAGGAAACTCTTAATATTTTTAGGATTTGTTATGATTATTAAAGGTATTCAACTATTGATATAATTTTTATTGAAACTTTATTGACTATAAACATAAGGTAGGTATGTTTTTGATCAAAAATAAAAATGACAAACTCGTAATATGAAAAAACAAAGTGATATATTTAATTAAAAAAAAAGTTGCTAATATGTCTACCCTGTGTTCCTTGCAAATATATCTTGAACAACTTTGACAGGTTGTGGTGGTTTTCCTATTTTTTTTTTTTGAGCTACAATATCCACATCTTCCTACAGGACTATCAGGTCTTGAGGTTGGCGGCACAGGAATTCTAAGTACGTTGTGAATACTGGTGCGAATATTCAATGGTATATCCATTGTCAACCGTCTATGTATATGCTCAGAACATAATTCCTTGGCAAGGCTCCTCAAAAATTCACGTCTCTTTAAATTTGCTTTGGTGTTGAACTCATAAATCACCTGGCTGTTGATTCCGGCAATATTCATTTCACAAAAGAAAATTGTTAGTGGCCACCTAGCAGTTTTTCGCGAAACTGAATAACTGCCTTTCATCTCGTCGACTTTATCTACACCACCCATTAATCATAATACGATATAATTTTTGGTTTTCTGTTCACATCATCTTCAACCTCACCCTGATGATGCATCGTCGATATCAATGCAACCGTCTTACCTTTTTTGGGTATATAGGAAAGCAGAGTTAGGTAATTTGTAAATCCAAAAATTGTGCTCTTCACTTCCCTTTCTTTAGAATCGACGAATTCTTTTGAAAGCTCTCTTTTATTTCTTCTGATAGTCCCAACAATTTTTAAATTTTCCTTTAGTAAGTCTTGAGCCAGATTAATTGAAGTGAACCAAGTGTGCATGGTTATACTCCTTGATCCCATAATAGGTTCAACAAGCCGCGTGACAACGTTGGTAGGACTATTATTTAACATAAAAGGACCGTCTGGCTGTTTCCCAGCATAAATTTCCATGTTATAAGTATATAATAGGAACGTGAGTCGGCAAAAGAAAAAATTTTAATGCCATATCGTGCAGGCTTACTTTTTATGTATTGCTGGAAACCGCAACGTCCTCGAAAACATTCCAGCATTTCGTCTATTGTAGTATCTGCTCCAATAGTGTAATTTTCTTGACATCTTTTTACAAATCCTTCAAACGAATGCCTGATGGGAGCTAACTTATCTGTTGTTTTTCGAGCTTCTCGGTCATCAGGGAAAAATAACTTCCAAGAGGATAGTGGCGTTACAGCAAATTTCGATTTGTTTGTAGGACCTTCACGAAATCTTATAATATTAGCTGGTTTTGTTTTTGCGACACGGCTTATCGGAGGAAATTTACACCACAACATCCCAGATTTTCCCACATAATTATCAAGGCGCTGAGACAAAGGCAGTTCGTATCATGGTCGCTTTCTTCTAGAATATCTGCTTCAGAGTCTGAATCACCCCCAACTATCTCTTCGTCTGTTGATACTTCCTCACACAATCTTTGTAAACGTTGGATTTCTTTTTCATAATACATTCTACAAAATAAATACATACAAAAATACGTATATCTAAAAAGTTATCTGTTATTATCTATTTGATTTTGCCATATTTATTTGATTGGAACCCTCAATTTCCTTGTAAACAATAAATAATTTGGTACAAACCTTAAAATGCTCGCGTGTCGGTTAAAACGACCAATTGTCAATTTTCAGCTTCTAGCTACACTCTCTGACAAAAACCAAAAATAGACTGGCCCGCCGCTTCGACTCAGGAGGACTCCAAAGCGCGTCGGACAATGACGGCCCAAATAAATGTGGGAGGGTGAAAATATATGCTTGGCGACAAAAAGACCGGGGTGCGTGCATTCTCGGGTTAAGGTGCAATATTGCTAATTTTCCAATCGAGGTTACCAATTATGCAATGTGTAGATTTTTGTAATATATATTACTGAGAATTGTAGTAATTATACAATTTTTAGATTTTTGTTATCCTTATTAATGACAAATTAAAATGTAAGTTATTGAAATTACTATTTTATTTCTTAAATATATATAAAATAGATTGTCATTTATTTTGTACAAAGGTTAAACAATGCTTTAATACTCGATCAAACACATTTTTTCATATAGCTGTCTTAAAGGGTCACAGGACCGTGGCGCCTTAAGGGGACATTTTCAGACATGGATTCTTGTACTCAAATATCTTCTATTATTGCACTGAATAACCACTCGATGTTTGATCTCATAGTTCTGATTCACCATGTATAGTTTAGAATATTCTAATTTATTAACTATTTATTTTTCCTAAAAGAGGCAGAAAAAAATTACGGTACATATTATTGAACATTTATTAGGTTTATATATTACACATTAGGTCAAAAACGGTTTTAAGAAGGTGGAAAATATTCATGTTGTCAGTAAAATCTTTTCTTTTCCTGATTTTACTCTGGCCTTTAGTTTTAACTGAATCTGTCCTTGGTCAATCTTTAAATGTTCTCACATAATATAAAGAAATTTGTTAACACAGAGCAAATCTATAATGTATTAAAAATACGTAGATATTAAACAAAAGATATTTTGTATAAAGGAAAGTTAGGTTTAAGGGGTCCTATTTTAGACTCCAGTATGTCTTATATAATTTATAATCTGCCTTTTTATCACACCCTGTATATTATCAGATAGGTCACTCTTAGGTCTGAGAAATTTTATTTTGTTAGATCTATTATATTTGTTCTAGTTTTTGTTATAAAAGCAGAATAAAAAAGACCATCATTCAACGCCGAATTCTTATAAAAATACTCTTATTTATCAAAATTGATAGGAACATATATTTCCTCCTTTATTAATTTTGTTTCTTTCTTTTATGTGTATTTCTATGAAGCAGTGGATGATACAATTATTGATGAAACTGAAGATGAAACAAATAGTATATCAGAAGAAAGTTCAAGTCCAAAACCTACAACTATTAATAATTGTAAGTATTTCTTTTAATATCTCGTCTAGAAACTAAATATAGGCTATTCAAGCTAAGCAATATGCTCTCTTCTTAGGGACATATGTAAGTAGGCCTCTTCCAGTGTTTCTAACATTCCAACCGTACCGGAATTTCCCTACACTTACAATATTTAAGAATTTGGTTAAAATCGCATTAATTGTACTTTGCTAAAAAAAAAGTATATTTTCAACTATATAGGGTTTTTGAAAAGGTATGTTAAAAACTATTTCTGTTTTAACTAATCGATAAAATACATTAGTCAAGGTTTTTAATAAAGAACATGGTTATTGAAATTACGTTTAAAGGGTTCCTACTATTTCATAGGAACGTATTGCTCTTTCTTAAACGCTACCAGATAGAAAGTTGGTTAAATCAGACGAAAGATGCGCAGTTTTGTGCTCATTAAAATGGTGTTAATAAACCTTTAATATCTACAGGGAGATTCAAAATATCGGATAAAAATTAATGAATTTAAAGAAATGACAATTTTAATTTTTGTCCGATATTTTGAATCTCTCTGTAGATATTAAAGGTTGCACGGTACTATTTTAATGAGCACAAAACTGCACAACTTTTGTCTAATTTAACCAACTTTCTATCTGTTACTGTTTAAGAAATAGCAATACTGTCCCTATTAATTAGTAGGGACCCCGAATAGGAATATGTCTTTACAAAATACGGCGGTGTGATGCAGTATAAACTACACTGGACTCATTCATTGAATACTTTAAAAATATCTGAAAACCGAAAAAAGGATTCAAAAACTGAATACTTAAATATGGATACGGATTACAAAATTTAAAGAAATACAGATATAGCTTTGGGATACACATAAAGTATCTGATGGGGTGCACTACTTTCAAAATATTTTTTTTCCAAGTTGCTCTTAAAGAAGACTACAGTCTATTTTCATGACAAATAGTTTAACAGTTTCTGTGTTTTTGGAAACATCTGTTTTCAATTTATAAAATTTTAAAAGGCTATAACTTTTTTGTAACCTTTTTTTGTATGTAAATGTGATTTAATAAACCTATTTTTGAAAATAGTAAATAAAATTTCTGAATAAAACCAAAAAAATGTTCCTGGTGCCAGAAGAATGTCCCAACAGCAGATTCCAATTATGACTCTTGTGGCCATGGCTCTTAATGGTCCTAGCTCAATATTTTTCATGAATTAAAGAAACCTGCATTAACCTTCGAACCGCGAGGCTCTATGCGGTTTCTCACGTCGCCCATGCTTTATGCCGCTTCTGTACCACAATATCTGATATAATCTATGGTCTATATTTTTGTATATTATCAGATAGGTCACTCTTACGTCTGAGAAATTTCATTTTTTTTAAATCTGTTATAGTTGGTATAGTTTTTGTTGTAAAAACTGAATAAAAAAAAAGAAAAGACCAACATTCAAAGCCGAATTCTTACAAAAATACTCTTTTGTTTATCAAAATTAATATGAAAATATACATGAGATTTTTCTTTATTAATATTGTTTATTTCTTTCTTGTTCGTTTCTATAAAGTAGTGGATGATGCAATAATTGATGAAAATACAGATACATCAAGTGATGAAAATGAAGATGCAACAATTATTGATGAAAATACAGATGCAACAATTATTGATGAAAATACAGATACACCAGTTATTGATCAAAATACACAGGCAAAAATAATTGATGAAAATACAGATGCAACAATTCTTGATGAAAATACAGATGCAACAATTATTGATGAAAATACAGATGCAACAATTATTGATGAAAATACAGATGCAACAATTATTGATGAAAATACAGATGCAACAATTATTGATGAAAATACAGATGCAACAAATAGGGTACCACAAGAAAGTTCTACTCCAGAACCTACAAATATTAATAATGGTAAGTTTTTCTTTAAACATCTCAAATAAAACTGAAATATAGGCGATTTAAGCTAAGCGATACACTATTTATTGGCCATATGTTTTTAAGTAGGCCTGTTTCAGTGTTGCCAACCGTATCGGAAATCCTCTGTGCTAACGGATTTTTCTCCCTTCTGGCATTCAGGTGTAACTCTATATATATTTAAGGATTTTTTATAAAATCGCTTTAATTGTATTGATATTTTTTTGATTGAGTTAATTTAATAAATTTTAAAAAATATTGTTTGTGTCAGTGAAGCAGTGAAGTAATTTTTTTACCTTTTAAAAATCTTCCCTCCAAAGTTTAAAAGTTTTTTTATTATTTGTATATAATGAATTTGTTTATTTCTTGTAATTTGCTTATTATGTGACCTGCTTGTGATGAAATGTTGTGCATATCATTTGGAAAAGAAAGATAAATAAAAAAGTGATAATTCAAAATATGATTGATAATTCTGTGAATGTTCTCTTATAGCAGCTTGGAAAATGAACCTTTTAATTTTTAATATTGATAAATTCATATGATATAGGTATTGAATCTAATAAGATAATCACTTTTTATACATTTTTTCTTAAACGCATGATAAATATAAAGTGTAATCCACAAAAAATGTTTCTAAAGTAGGCCTTAAAAAATTTTCGTACTAGACTTTCCAAACAAAATGGTTGTCTAAATACATTGATATGGCAACCCTGTGGGTCTGGTGGATTTGACAACATTTAATATGAATTTTTATTCATTCTAAAGTTTCTTTAGAACTGTTAAAAGTTTAGAATCTTTATTTATTAATATATAAAAGTAATAAATTTGCTTCTTTTTCAGAATATGCTCTCAGAACATATTCTAAAATTTTTGTAAGTTAATGTTTTCAACATTTTATACACTAATATTTTTATCTTCACTACTACTGGATAATAATAAAAACAAGGGTAACATATTTTAAAAATTGAAAATAAAACCTAACAACCTAACCTCTAAATCAGCACTGGCTGGCACTGAAAAAAATTACAGTTCCAAAAAATTTGAATTTTGAACAAGCACTTCTATCAGTCGAACAAAAATTTCACTCTGCCCTTGTGCCGAGCAATTCCAGTCGAATGCAACAATTGGTTCATTTCTGCCAGTCGAATATATATGGCACTTATAAAACTGAATGCATACCAGTGCGACCAGTCGAATGCGCTATTAGTTTTAACCAACCTATTTTTTGTTACACCCTGTATATTATCAGATAGGTTACTCTTACATCTGAAAAAAATTATTTATTGCTGTAGTTTTTAATATAAAAACGAAATAAAAAAATACCAACATTCAAAGCCAAATTCTTACAAAAATACACTTGTTTATCAAAATTAATATGATTATTTAACATTATAATACTTCAACCAATGACAATCCTATTTTATTCCAACACATGCCAATCAAAACAAACTGTATCTGAAAACACTGCATTTTACTCAATCCCGATTGGATTTAAAAAAATTAATTCATCAACAGTAACGTATCAATAATTTGTGCAAAACGTCAATGTGAAGTTTGTCAAAAAGGTGACGAAAAATGAATATAAATTGATTTGGTTGTTGAAATATAGATTTTAAATGTGTATTTTGTTAAATAATCTTTCCAAATACCACGCTAGGTGATTATTTTTATTGAAAACATTTTTTTGTTTCCTTACAAATGCCACTCGACTTACGTCTCGTGATATTTTGAGGATTTTGTTTTGTGAAATTTAGACACGTAATATCCAAAGAAACAACAAAATGTTCTTAAAAAAAATTCTCATCTTTTGTGGTATCACCATTGAACATAATCATAAGATTTTCTACTTTATTAATTTTGTTTTTTTATGTACATTTCTATAAAGTAATGGATGATAATGAAATTATTGATGAAAATACAGATGCAACAAATAGGGTATCAGAAGAAAGTTCTGCTTCTGACCCTACAATTATTAATAATGGTAAGTTTTTCTTTAAAAATCTCAAATAGAAACTAACTATAGGTGATTCAAGCTAAGGGATATCCTCTTTGTAGGATATTTTTTTAAGTAGGTATGTTCCAGTTTTGCCAACTGTAGCGGAATTCTGCTGTGATAGTGCTTACTCTTTTAGTAGAAACAAAAGTAAACATCAGTGACCTAAGAGTATTATTTACAATAAATTAATTATTATAGATAGAAAAATATTACTGAACACAGATAGCCGTAACAAACTTATTGCTACGTATGAATGTGATATAAAATATTTAAAAGCTCCACCTAAAAATAGCAGGTGGTACCCATCTCTGTTGAACTGAGCTTTGTAATGGAACTCTCATCATGTTTTAAAAATAGTTTATTTATTTAAAACAGTTTATTCATAATTTATTTACACTAAGTACTAATTAATTGATTTATACTTAAGCACTATTTATATTTCACACTTATAATCTAATTTATTTAATAATTTATATTTACTCGACATTTATTTTAAAACTTAACTTAGTACGGCGAAATAATCCATTTATATACAAAAATATAATAGCCTAGAAAATTCCAGTCATATCTCGAAGAATATCGATACTATTCTAGAAGTTCTAGAAATTATTCCACGCGCCCGCGCACAAAGAATCTTTCCAGTCGTTTGTCGATCGGCCAGCTGCAGCGGTAAGGTAAAATTGTTTAACAGGGTCGGGCTGGTTGCACGACATTTTGTGAATACAGCATGTCGAATATACAGTTCGCTTATATTACATTACAATGATTTGTTACAAGTCGCCTTAATTGAATCTCCATAGTGAGATTTCCTGGTTTTACATTTATTGATAAAATTATTTTATGGTTGTAGAAATCTTATTACACACCACTTGTGCATAAGTGGTTTTTCACACTCATGTGAAAAATGTCACTTTTTACACTCATAATGTACTATTTTTTCTTAAAACGTCAGTTTACTATAAATGATGATGTTAAAGTTGACAAGACTTTGGCATCGGAGGAAAAGTTACATAAAGTTCCTTTGGTGGTGAAATTTTAAGTTTTTTAATAATTATTTTTCATAACTAATGACGTTTGAACAAAACAGTATTTTTTTTATTGGTACCCTATTTTACTTATTTAAAGTACGCCTTAGCGTGTATAAAACGAACTTTAAAAAACGCGCGTTTTAAAGTTACCATGGCAACATCAACAACTCGAGAAACGTGATGTCTAAATGCCAACTTATTAAATATTGATCTGACAGGAGTGCCTTGTAATGTCAAATAAAATATTTCTGAGAAATTTTTCAAAAAATTTATTCAATACCTTCAAAAATAAATACGTAATGTCCGGTGCATCTGTAAAAAAAACTTCCGCAAATCGTCTTCCTCGAATACATATGCCTTCTTGACTACCTCATTTTTGCTTATTGCCTTCATGAATGCATGCACTTTGACGAACGATTTTATATCGACCCCTTTGTTTATCCTCAACATACTTTGTAATTTTTAATAGATAGTCCACATAGTTGATACTTTATACTGTTCCGACATTTTCTGGAGATAAGCGAGAACAACTCGTTCATCTATATGTGTAACCATTTGCTCTTCCATCCACGTGTTGAATTTATCGTATTCTTTTTTGTAAACCGCTTCAGATTTTTGTGGTATTAAGCGCGATTCTGCTTTATTATTTAAATACTCAATATTTGAACTCATTTTAAACAATAACAACTGTTGCGACAATTAATCTTACGTGACAGATTGAAAATAAATTTTTGTTTGTCTCATTTTCATGACAACGAGGTATACTGATGTTACATCACAAATTCAACCATTTTCAGTTATTAGTTCTTATTTCCATTTTTTTGTAGAAATAATACCAATATTTAGGATTTCAAAGTGTACCAATAAAAAAAATAGCGTAAAGTATTATGTAAAAGAAACTTTTTTCGACTCGTACTTCAAGTGGCGCGGGGAAACAGTAACAAAGCCTACACAGAGCACAATGCTAATAACTGGAGCAGTTGATGCCGATGACACACAACAAAAATAAATTATTTAATTTCAATAAAGTTACAATATATACATTTGTACATAAAGTAAAATAAATTGAATAATCGTCGCCCAAAAGAAGTTACTGCTATCTGGCATTTACATATAATCTAATATAATAATTAACAGAGTAAGGCTTAAAAAATAAAATTAAACTCTATCAAACTATCTAGAAGGCAATTATTTATTATAAAATCTTATACTATTATACCTTACACTTTTTTCAGTTAAAGTTTATGTATATACAATTAATAATAAAAATAATTAATTTTGTAGAGGCAGAAAAACATAGTGAAACGAGTGAAAATTTATCAGATGATGATTTAATGGACTGTACTTTGGAAGAATATCTGTCCGAAGATGAAAATGGTAAGAAGTGTGTGTTCAGGATAATTGTTTTTACTTTTAATTTAAAATAATAACACTTTTATATTCCATAGAAATAACTTTATAAACTAATCAACAACTGTTTTATGACAATTCAAAAGAAAAACCGCATTTCTTAATTTTTATAATAATTAATTATTATATATTACTATTTACTAGTTTGCTAGTTTGCTAAATACAAGTCTCAACACCTCATAATAATTATAAAAACGTTTGCTAAATATTGATGCTATATTGAACTTTGGCAGAAATTTAGACTGTGAGTAATTTGAAATTCACTTGAGACAGGTTGAACGTATTGGAAATGCCCTATTTAACGGTATTTAATACTAAGAAATCTAAAGAAAACAAAAAAATTATAGATCAATAATATGCATTTGTTTTATCCAGATCGATCAATACAAATTTATTGTTGTTCACGGAATCTGTAACCAATGTATTTGACAATAAATTACAGCTAGATGTCATTTACACGGACTTTAAAAAAGCTTTTGAGGTTAATCACGAAATATTACTGGATAAATTACATAACTTTGGTTTATCGACTAATTTATTAAAACTTCTTAGTAACTATTTTTGGTTAAATTTAATGAAAATACTTCAAGTAAGTTCTATGCGAAGTCAAGGGTTCTACAAGGTTCCAATTTGGGCCAATTGTATTTTTAGTATTATTAGGTTTTTATTTATTTTTTGCTTTTTAGATTGTGAGTGAGAATCATAGTTTGTTACTTTAGATATATATTTCTTTGACTCAACGGTACTCTTTACTATTGAAACAGAGTCTATCTCATTCTTTGAAGGTGTTTGTGAAGTTGGCAAACAAACTCTTAGAACTTCTAATGTATACTTTTTATAAACATTTTTCTTTTAGGTTGCCATTTAGGTTCTCCAACCATAAAACCAGACATTACCCAAATAAAAATTGAAAAAGATAATGAAAGTACTAACGAATTAAAAATAGAATGTGAAAATAAACCTGAAGTTATTGATAACAAAGATCTTGGTGATGAAATTTTAGAACTTCTTAAAGAAGTGCCGGTTGCCATTGATGATCTACAATCTAAAACAAATCAATGTAATAAGGATAAATCTGATGAACTGGATGTCAGTAATCAAAGTAATAAGGATGAATCTGATGTACTGAATGTCAGTACTAAAGAAATTGATCAAATTTTACAAGACTTAAATAATGAAAGCAAGTCGGATACAAGCAGTTCAGATGATAACAATAGGTATTCATTTTAAAACATAGATAGCAATTAAAAATGTAGCTTACAATTTAAAACGTTATAATTTGTTTCAAGTAGTCATACCTCAAATCTAATTCAAAGCAAATGCCAGTTAACAACATTTTATTATGACTGGTATTTTCGGTTGAAGAGTGACATCCGTATATACTTAAAAATAAACGATAAGCTAAATATTTTTTTATTGCACCCCTTCCTACTAAAGCTTTCTGTTTATGTATGTGGGGTTTATTATTAATGAAGTGGCATTGTTTCAAAATTTAAACATTTTTGCCCACTATTTTGACACTATTAAATTAACTTTCCATAGTCATATCGGTCGAAAGTTTCAACTACTTAAGAACACATTAAATTATAGAAAAAAAAATAAAGTTTCTCACTGTTACTGGAGGCGTACAGTATATATTTTTCAGGGTATATTTTTCAGAGGTATATTTTTCCTGTTCTATATCGTTATTTTTAGCCAATATTTGGTTTTCATACTTGCTATTTTTTTTTCCTATATCTGAATAATATTTTTTATGTGATTTTATTTTTAGTGATTTAGATCTAAGCGATGATAGCGATGATGAAGTAAAATATCACGATACCAATTCAGTTGATATTGAACAGAAGTTGCAAGAGAATAACATGAGAGAATGTTATATACCTTTAAAAAGAATGGACATGGCTCCAAATGACATACGTAAATTTAAAAGAGCTCTTGATGACGATATTGATTGGTAAGTGCTTGTAAATAATATAAGAATAAAATTCCTGTTTCTGTAATGCTCTTCTGAACAATTGGTTTGGCTGAATTTTGTTATTAATAAGTGAAAATAGCGTAGTGTTGTGTTATCACTGTGGTACATTGCTCATTGTGACTGTGAAACAAACTTCTTTCCATACACACCCATATCTGTCAGTTAATCATTATCATAAGCTTACTTAGTTTTGACTTTCATGTCAATACAGTTTAGGACTTCTAAAGTAAAACAAATAATGATTGAGAGAAGAAATAAGCCCAGTTGATGGCAAATCGGGGGCGTCCTTATTAATTTTTGAGAGGGTTAAGAATGAACCAAAATGGCTTAGTACAATTATTTAAAATAACCACAATTTTTTTATTTATTTCATTAAAACTTTGCAATATCGTAATTTACCTAATCGTTGTAGTAATTAGTTGGGCTTTATGAAAACGGAGTAATAATTGTGGTATTTATAGTAAGTACCAAATAAATTAACAATATTAATAAAAATCACAATATATATATTTAAAATTAAAAATAATAAGAAAGATACCTAAATATATAGACTTCTTTTTGTGTTCAAATTTTCGTCTAATCTTCAACCTCAGATTCGTCACTACTGCTACCGCTATCATCAAAATTAATTATGATTGGTTCAATATTGTGTTCAATACGGTTGTCTACGTCCCACATTTTTCGCTCTTCTTTTAAAACATGCTGAATGTATTTCTTCCATTCTTCTGCAGAAACATTTTGAATTGCTTGTTGTAGGAATTGTTGCATGTCCACTAATTTAAATGTTCTGTTTTCTCGTGCCACATATACGTTTACTTACGCCCAGATTAATTCGCTGGTACGGTGGTAACCTTGAAACTGTAATTCCACGACTTAACGCCATTTCATTCACTGTGAATTTTTTATATTTGTATGTGTGTAATTTTGTTAGCTGAAGTAGTTCTGCCTATCATTTTTATATTGGATGTTTTTATTAATTAACCATTCTTGAAATGCTGCTTTTTTCCATGATTGTTTCGGTAATGATTCTAAATGGCAACTATGATATAGGGCATTGTCCATGACGATGACAGATCCAGGTTCCACAAGTTGAATGATGCCTTCAAACCATTTTTCAAGCACCTCTGCATTCATCTCTTCATGATAGTCGCCTATTTTCTTAGATTTAAATATTAATTCGCCATTTGGTAAAAATCCACTGTCGCTTTCTATATTCGTAACTATCAGACGATTACCTTTTCCAGACGGTTGTTTTGGCCCACTTGACAAGCCTTCAATAAAGGCTTGTCGTTCACTTGTTATATGACCATCCTGCCATACTTATTTGACCGTATGTCCTTGGTTAACCCACGTCTCATCCATGTAGTAATTTTTTTTTGAGCTTCCTAAATTCGTCAATTTTTCTGAGATAATTTCATCTTCATACTATTATTTCTTGACGTTCAATGAGAATGCTTTGCCTGTCGACTTTTCAGTGCGTAAATTTCATTTCGTGTAAAATTGTCCTCAAAGTTTCTTTACTCATTTGTGGGACCAATTCATGATCGCTAACTGCCTCCAGTACTTTTTGCAAAGTGGACAGCTCATTTCTAAAAAAGAAACTGTGAATAGATGGATTTTACGCGAAACTGACAAAGACAAATATCGTTCCGTACAGCGTTGCCATAAAGACTGAACAATACATAAAATAATTAAATTTAAATGATCAGGAAATGTATAAGTATTACTCATTACTGATTTTTGTCATAAATAATATCTTTTAATCGTACTATCTATAATTTGCCACAACCTACAACTCTACTGCTTACTATATTTTGATTCTGCTAGAAACTGGTAACGTAAAATTGAGATATGACAACGTGGTTTACTCTCAATCATTATTTGTTCAATTTTAGGTCAATTTTATTTAAGGTTTGTCAGGTGGCAATGTCAGGAACTTATGGCATAATTACGTTACACCTAAAGCAGGTAGATCATAGTCGATAACCTTGTACATCCTAATCCGTGGAACCTTGGTATCGGTTGGGATAGATACCAAAAATAGGAAAAGACGACGATGACATATTTTATAAGTCAAATTTATATATTCGATAAAAAAAAAATTCTAATGGTCTAACCCTCTATTCTACAATTTTCTCACTGCCTTGATTGCCTCCATTGAGATTCCATTAAGTCCAGAGTAGGGAATCCTACTCGACAATTCACTGTTGGGTTCTAATTAACAGTGCTGTTCCTAAAGTGGCGCTGCGAAACAGTAACAAATCCTACACAGAACACGAGGCTAATGGCCTTAGTAGTCGATGCCGATGACACCAAATTAAAAAAAAAAGAAAACAAAAACAGTAACAAGAACGATGCTAATAGAAACGGTTGACTGAGAAGCCTTCAAAACCGTACGTTATTTTTCCTTCTATATCAAAGCAGGTATACTGATGCTTACTAAGGTTTTCGACGTCCAATACTCTCCAGTTTTGTATTTTTCTCCTAGTGGATATCGTTAAATCGATATACGATGCCTAGTCCCCTTTTAAACTCTCCTAATATTCTGCTACTGCTTATACAACATCTCAGGCCCCACAAAGGTTGTTTGAACCTCTTTCCCTATGAGAATATTTGTAATCTTGTTGCCCATCACATATTTTGTCATTATTTTTTTGTAGATATTTATTTTTTAGTTTTGTATTTTCTTTTAATACTTTAGCTAGTTATTAAATAAGCGGCGACTTATTGGATAGAAAATATAAATTGCTTATGATATACAATTTTAAAGCATTTAATTTCTTTTAGGCTGTGTAATCTAGATAATTTAGAGAGAAAGAGGAAGAAAACCTCGTCTCCAGTTTTTGGTAAACGTCCCCGAAAAAAATGGAAAAAAGAATCAACTTCTGGTAGTTCAACCGATTCTTTCTCAGAATCATCAAGTGATAATGAAAACTCTGAACATGAGTATCGGTCAGACAGTCCGAATCTTGGTAGTAAATCGAAAAAAAGATTATACGAAATTTTAGCTAACGCAATTTGTAATGATTTGAAGAGTGAATCTAGTGAAGATAGTGATGACAGCAGTTCAGATTCTGACGACAGTTCAACGAAAAAGAAAAAGTCAAAGAAGAACAGTGATACTACTAAATCTGATACGGATAATAAGGTAAACATTATAAAACGTGGGTTTATTTGTGTTAATTAAAAATGGTGATGTTTTGTTACATTTCTTTATAGCGCCAATTGAGCAAAGAGGAGTTACAGAAGAAGGCGTGGAGAAACGATCCTCTTTTAAGAGATAAATTAACTGATTCTGATCGTGATACACTTAAATCTAAAAAGACTAAAACGTAAGTTACTGATTATAAATGATTTATTAGAAATCGAATGTGCCAATAGTAATTAATAGTAGTGATGGAACCTTTTGTGAAAAGTAATTTTTGTACTAGTCCGTCGGACGTGTCCGGAAAAGTAGTATAAAGTCACGACGAAAAGTAGTTGACCTTAGGTATAGAAGACATACAGTTAAATTTTTCTCTCTTTGAATTTTTTTGGTCATTTTAATAAAGTATAAGAAGTAAATTCGAAAACACCGTTAAAAAAACTCAGTTCGGAGTGGAAGTAGCCAATATTTACAACTCTGAGAACACAATAAAATGTCTTTTTTACATTTGCCAAAATGACCAGGTAATTTACATAAATTTAAACGTTTAAATCTTGATTCGTATTTCAGTAAATAATGATATATTTTAAAGTACGGGGGCTCCCGCAAAGGTTTAAGGGTCGGGATTTTTTAAGAAATAAAAATACGGGGGTTCTTTAGAACGCTGTCAGGCGGAAATTACCTTGAACTAAAAATTCTTAAAATTATACTAAAGGAAATTAACCCAAATTAAACATTTTTATAATCAAATTAAAGGAATATTAAGTGACTTCGTCACAATTTTCTACAATAGCTTCGTAATGCGCTTGTGTTTTAGTGCCGCTAAACATCGCAGAGCTGTGCCAATTAGGGAAGGGGGTGAGTGAGGAGGTGCGAGTGGAGTGGAAAATATTTGCAATTTTCAATAGTTATAGCTAAAATAGATCCCTCTGACAGGCACAAGCCTTGAAAATAACGTGAAAATGCAAACGTTCGGAAAAGAGTTATCCTTATTAGGGAAGGGGTAAGGACGAGGGGAAGGAATCAGAAATCGAAAAATGTTAATTAAAAAATATTTTTGGTTAAATTTTGTTCCCGCAAATCAACTAATTTTTTTCTCGAAAACACGGGGTAATTGGGAGTAATTAAACCCCTTGTCGACTTTTCCACCAATCCAATTTTCCACCTATTTAAAAAAAAAGGTCACTTTTCGCCAGGTTGCAATTTTTTGCATATCAACACTTTCATCTACATAATATCATCTTAGATTCAGAAAAAACGCTATTAAACTATTTCTCGAATTTCGCTGAAAAACGTAAATATCCGGTCACGTGACCAAAATTCCTACACCCACATGTTGTTCACCCCGCTCCCATATACCAATAGCCAGCATAAAAGGCGACATGCCATTTTTTGCAGTTATATGAGGGACTATTTTAAATGTTGTACATGTATTAAAAAGTGTGAAAAAAAATATTTTTTTATTATTATTTTAGATATGAAGATGATTCTGAGTTCAATATAGACTCTGACCATTTTAATACAGATAGCGACTTGGAAGATTTGAAAGAAAATAATAAAACAAAACTGAAAGAAAATGATATGAGTCCAATAAAAGGAAATCTGCCAGATAGTGATAGTAGTGATTCTGACAGTGATGTGCAATAGTAAGTTGAGTCTGAGGTTGAGGTGCAATAAACTGTGAATCCATATAGTTCCATTAGTCTAACCCAATACTTTTTGCTTGATATAACTACCACAGCTTAACAATACAGCTAAAACACTCTCTTGGCGGCAACGGTTTGCGTCGATTTCGTCGCGCATCGCTTAAGCTCCGCCTTCGAAGGGAAAAGACGGTTTTGGCGTTCAGAAGTGTACTTAGGTAAGGTGTTGAGTCGTGCGTATAATTTCGTTGATTGTATAATTTCGTGGAGCCTATAATTTCGTAGATTTTGTTTGAGTTAAAGGTACTGTTATTATTTTGGTGACTCTTTAGCTGTGAGTAGAATGAATGAAAAAAAAGACATCATTCTGTTTGTGCAGTCAAAAGCTGTTTTAATAAGGGTTATACCTGCAAGAAAACATTCTTTAGTTTTCCCAAGGACCCAAACCGATAGGTACCACATTATAAGAAATTTTCATTGTTAAAAATATAATTTATACAGGGTGTCCCATTAGTGCGTTATTGTTCATTATTTTGTTGTAGACACGCAAGAAAGTTTTAAATAAAAGTTATATGGATTTGAAAAATACCTACATATTTTAAAAATATCTTTGGATATACAGGGTGTCACGTTTTTGCCTGGCAAATTAAAATGTATGTTTTTTAAATGGAACACCTTGTATTTTATTTTATGATGAAATTATTAACACCCTAAATTATTGTAAAGACGAATTGCTACAGAAAATTTTTATCAGGTATGTGTGTGGTTACCTTTTAATAAAAGCCTTGCGGATCCACTCCTGCGATACCTGTCTTAAATATAACAAAGATCACGTTGAAATAGATGATTTTTCTTTTTATTGCTTTTTAAAGGCATATGATAACGCCAATTCAGATACATTTGGAAATCTGCAACTGTCAAATGATGAATTTGTAGAACTAATATTCAATATTGAAAAGATATTTCAAAATAATTTTGAAGAATTGGCTACAATTAAAAAATAACATTTGTACCACACTTTTAGAATTAATTAACCCAATACCCTTTAGTCATCCATGCTAACGTTTTCCAAAAGAATAACTTATTTTATTGTATGTTTAATCTCAATAACTAAAAAATATACTGACAATTAGTTTGACAGAATTGTCATTTATTTAAAATTTTAAAAATAATAGCAGTCGGTTGATTAAAATATGAACGGTGATTGGCGAATTTATTTTTTTTGCAGTGTTCTCACTACCTAGAATGGATATGAAATATATTCGTTCAATTGAAGGCAATAGCATACTTTTTCGTTTTGTAATCTGTGCATGGATATTAGCCAATCTACGCACATACTACAAAACGAAAAAGTATGTTATTGTGTTCAACTACGAATATATTTCATATCCATTTTAGGTAGTAAGAACACTTTAACAAAATTAAATCTACAAATCACAGTTCATATTTTGGTCACCCAACTCCTATTATTTAAATTTTTTTAAATAAGTGACAATTCTGTTAAACTAATTGTCAATATATATTTTAGTTATTGATATTAAATATACATTAAAATTTTCGTGCAGACTCGATAAATAATAGCATTTTTGTTTCTATTGTGTCCACATTTAAAAAAAAATAAATTTTAATTAAACTACATGATACTAATTTAATTACGAGTATTAAAACTAAAGTCCTGAAAGTTTCGGTGAAGATGAAGACAGAGCATCTGCCTTCCACGCGAAAAGTCCGGGATCGAATCTAGGCCGAGGACTAATTAATTTTTCATGTTTATTTTATTTTATAAATTAGTCAACTTCGTAAATTATTTTAAAATTAGTTATTTTGTCTAAATAACCTAAAATAATTTTTTAAATTTGTAGATTTTCGTTAGTGGGTCGTAGAAAAAATATACTGACCATATCGAGTAGATTGTTCATATCACAATCAGACGATTGAGTTCTCCGCCTACGACGTCGTGCTCAAACTTCGTCTTTGTGTGATATGGCTATCATATCCACCCTTGTTGAACAAACTACAATTTATTTGTTTTCTTGGTTTAAGTTTTACATCAGAAATAGGAATTAAATTAATTTACTTTTCAAGTTTTCTTGTAAAAATCGATATTACTTTCTCCAAGTACAAATTTAGTACCTACCTAAAATAAGTACTAATTATGTTATATCTTGTAATATTGTAATTCAAATTTCACATTACTATAAAGTTTTAAAATTTCCTACTTTGGTATGATCAGATAAAAATTGAATATATTATATTAATAAAAACTGTCAAAGTATAACTTCTACAAATCTGTATTTCAAATAATAAGAATACATCTAAATATAACCAATATTGTTAAAACAAAAGCACACATTCTTTATAATTCCAAAATACCATAGAGTTCCCAGACCTCAGTCGAAGCATTCGTTTATCTAGGTATAAACACTTGCCAGAGACACGGGGGTACCACTTGATTTGCATCCACGAGCGTGACACAATTCTTTAACAATTGAAGCCCTTGGTGTAAAATGGATCCAAGCCACAATTTGTTGTGAAGTGACTGTTTTAGCTCAAAACATTTGTTAACGAGGATTTTACTAGCCATATATAAATTATTTTACCTCTAATCCGAAAGATGTGCTATTTTTCGTAATATTTATATTTAAATAATTTTTTTAATTATATTTGAAAGATTTAAAACAAATTAAAAATTTAATTTCCTAAAACTTACTTAATATGGCATGTGACCAACCTTATTACGCCAAGGTTTTCAATTTTTTCAATAATAAAAAAATTGTTTAATCCGGGCCCGACTTTTCCCTTGAATCTAACAGAGATAGCACCATTCCGTCTTGCTTGGTTCTCGACCGCCAGATCAAAGACGCCGACACGGAGTTGTGGAGCTGTATTGTATAAGCTATATAACTTTTTATTTATTCATTTACTTACATTTTTATAAATATATACTTTTGGTCAGTATTTCTTCACCCATGTGTCAATAATATTTGATAAAATGAAACACATACTTTATGTGTTGCATCATCTTCTACTAAGTGTGAAAAGCAGGACAAAATTTTTCTTTTATTTTATTTCATATACATATATACAATTATGACAAGGTTAAAAAACCGCTGAACCAACAGTACTAATGAATATATTTTTCTTTTTCCTACATGTACGTATTTTTTTATTACAGATGCATATTATCATTATAATCGTTTTATTTATTTGTTTTTTTTTATGTTTTTTCATGTACGTATTTATTAGTTGTTTACTGTATAAAAATTAAGAAAATTTGGTATCGTGTAAACCTCATAAAATATAGTAAGTTTAATGGGAAGTAAGTTTCGTATTTTAGATCGTAGAGTAGAAATAGTATCGATGTGAAAAACAGTCTACCAAGTATCAGTGCATTTTCTCTTATTTTTAAGTATATCTCCAAAAAAATCAAGCCAAGATAATAAAGAAGATGATATTGCGAGTCCTTCTCAAAAAGGCAGAAGACATATCAGATCTATACTTTCCGATAGGGATTTGACAAGAGAAACTTTAGAAGCCAAGAAGCAAGAAATGCAAAGAATTGAACGAATAAAAGATCGTCACAAAATTATTGAAACACTTACCCAATCGTTTAGTAGCCAACATTCTGAAGACGTAAGTAACAAATCAAAAAAATTGATAAGAAATCGGGAGAACTTATAGGTTATATATGAAAATATATCTGAACATCTCAAAAGATGAACTAAATGTAGATATTACAGACTTAGGGCATAAAGGCATCAGTAGCAGCTCGTGGTATATGGACTAGGGTGAATCGTTTTTGAAAAAAAATAGGCATTTATTAGAAGTGAAATGGGCTGTGGCACATTTTTCCACTCAGCGGATCTAAGTTAATCAAATATATGGAAGAAAGATAATAATAATAATGATAATAATAATGAAACCTTGAGCATTCATTATATTGACTTTGCCGCCATCACTAAACGACCTAATAAATATTGTAAAAGTATCTCCTAAAATATGTCAATTTGGATTTGAAGAAAAGTGCAAAATTTGTTTTTTCAGTATTGTGGTTGACATTAAAGTTAAATCAATAGTATAAAAGTTAAAAGTAATATTATTAAAAATTTTAGTTGTTAAATTAATATTTAAGATTTTTATTGTAAATAATAATTTTATATATTACATTTATGACTTGAAAAAAGATCATTATCAATTTTGAAAACAAGAGTGAATCACTCTTCACTCACTCCACCCTACAAACTGTCACTTTGTGGCATATCGCACAAATAAGATCCCGGCTTAGGGCGACCTTCCCTCCTTCCACCGTTGTTCCGAGACGGTGGAAAGATTTGAAAGTGACAGGTCGACAAAACTAACAGCAAAAGGAGTACTAACTACTATATCTAGAGCCAATTAATATTCATAAGTAAACGTTTGTCCATTATTTGTCCAATGAAATCATGTGACAGGCATTAATGATGCATTGCGGCTTGAAGAAAAACTTAACTGAGGTCATAAATCAGAATAAAAAACGGAAATGGAAACGTTTGTTACAGATTGACAAATGTCGAGTGTCACCCTAAACAGTAATACCAACATGGTTACTATGTGTCCTAATGTTAACATGGCGCGAAATACAAATACACCTACAACATTAGTCACTATTGCATTTTATCGATGACAAGGGTATTATGAAATTTTCGAAAGGGAATAGTTACTGTTTGATTCTGGCAACACTGGAATCCGTACGGAAATATATTGTCTTTTTTATTTTTTTAGCAATCTATTTGGTGAAAGAATCGGTTTTAAAGTTCAGAAAATTGTTCGGTTAAATATCTGAAAAATAGGATGATAAATTCCTTGAAAATCTCCAAACAAATCCCACTATTACCCCTACGAAATAATGAAAATTATTTTAGAACCCGCAAGGGAAAAAAAACAAAGGCGTAATATTGGGGTTTGTTTGGAGATTTCAAGGAACTTATCATCCTACTTTTCAGATTTTTAACCGATTCTCTCGCTACCTTTGCTTGTGTTGTAACCATTGAGCTAGAATGAAGCAGAGACGACATAAACACTATTTTGCGATATGACGAATGGACGCACTTTGAGTGATGGAAAATTGTAATTAAAATGGCGTCTTAGAGTCGTATTTTGATTAATTTGAAGTTAATAATTTTATATTTGAAGATTAGAAAATTGTATTTATTCTCACCAAAACTGACTAGTTATACTAGCTCGAATTTGACATTTGGCGTAAAAGTGTAGTGCAAAAGTGTGGACACTTTTAGTATCGTCTTAATTCGATCTCAGTGATTTTAACTCATAATATTGGAAACTTAATACAACTCAAACGACCTGAGGAAGTGCTTGCATACCGTCGCATGTTTTCCTTAGACGATGCTGTACAATACTTTGTTGAAAAATTGAAAATTGTCTATAAAGCAAGGTTGGATTAGAAATCTTATATTATCTTAACAATTTGAGTCACTTACGATGTCCGTGATAGCGCAGTAGGCAAGAGCGGTGTGTGCAGAACACAGATTTTTTTAAAAATTTTTATTAAATGTGTTTCCTCCTTGGGAGTTCTAGAATAATTTTCATTATTTCATGAGGATGATATTGGATTTGTTCGGGGATTTCTAAGGAATTTATCAACTATTCTATTAAGTCTATAAAAAATTACAAAACGGTCAAAAGTAGTGTAAAATTAAGTTAATTTTTATTACTATGTTTTCTAATATTCGAAATTCTAAGTGATTCTTATTTACAAAAAAGCAGTGATGTGTGTGTACGTTAAAATCTAATAAATACTCCAAACTCCAATTAATTTACTGTTGGATGAAGTGAAATGGTCGTCAAGAACAATTCAGAGAATGTTATTTAGCGGCTGTATTTATATTCAAGATAAAATACATTTCCAGTCCAAGGCTTTAATCCTAGTGATGATGAGGGCCAAAATAATGAAGAAAACTGCAATGTGAAAACAAATGAAAGTTCAATTAGGTTTTTATTTTTAGTAAATTAAAGTAAACCTGCAAAATAAGATATTTTGTTTATATTTTCGAGTAATAAATGATAATAATAAATATAAATAAACTGATCTGCACGATTGTATATCTGACAGGTTAAAAATGAACCGCCATTTTTCTGCCGTAAATATACTAGCGAATCTAGCGGATTTTTGTTCGTCTCCTGATATATTTTAGCCATTTTTTTTGTGAGTTGGAACCCCTTATAATTACACCGTCCACCTGGCTCATGTGTTTCCAGTATTTCTTTCACTAAATAGAGAGGATCACTGGAATTCGGCAGAAGATGAGCCAGTTACTTTAAGGTAAGACGTATAATCGTTATTATTTTGTTATTTATTGACAACTGGCATTCCATCAAAGCTCTACATTCTACAGAATGTATATTTCTGTATATTTATGATTGGAAAAAGGAATTCTTCGAATAAAAGTTGTTTGTGATGTGATTCTTTATAATTTTTACTTTATACATTGTCATGATTTTCCCAAAATGGATTGGATAAATTTAAAGTAAAGTGCCAAATTCGAATTTTCTCAATATACTCGTTGGCAATGAAGATAATAAAACGTGAGTGGAATTTTTTTTAATTCATATTCTAAGTACTGTTTGATAACTTTACTGGATTAACTCTGATAGATGTTTATAATGGCAATAATTTGAAATTAATTAATTCAAATTCCGTTAAAGTGTATCATCAGGCTCATAAATTTTAATGGACATTCTTGCAGCCTGCTGATAGTTTAATAAATTTGGGTATTGAGAGATTTAATAAGGTTCTTGCGACCGGTTGTAAAACTTGTCAAAAATTCTACATAACATAGCGTCTGTTAGGAATGACAAGTCCCTGTCTTTCAGGAGGGATTCTTTGATGCTGGGGCATTTTTCTTTCGCACCGAGGTGGCGCAGAAGGCATGCCCTGATTTATAATATGAATAATTGTGACACCAATTTAAATAACTCAAATTTAATTCATTGAAAACATTTATAGGAAGCTTCGAATTTATGTTCCATCTATGGCAGAAGATGATATCAACCAAATAGCCACCTCCAACAACAATACAATAACGAGCTCTTTTTAGTACAATTTCATGGTTCTCGTTAACATTTCTTGCCTTATGTTGGCCTTGAGGACCTCCAGAATTTGTGGTTGATTCACGTACACACGATCCTTCAAATAACCCCATAGAAAGAAGTCCAGCGTGGTCAAATCGGGTGACCTGGGCGGCCATGGCAAATCAACGTATTTCAGAATAAACCGCACAAGAGACATTCATTTAAAATGGCTCTATGTGTGTTGTAGCACCATCCTGTTGAAAATGACTTTTTGATCAAACTCTTGCATTTGCGGTGCTAAATATTCTTCCAGCACCGTACGGTACCGCTCCCTATTCACAGTTACCGTGCGACCCAGAATATCTTTAAAAAAATACGAACCAGTTTTTCTGCTTGCTGTAACGCCACATCGTAAAGTGACTTTTGGAGCACGAAGAAGATTTTCGTGAATGATTCGCAGATTTTCACTGCACCGATAGGATGGTTTTGCTTATTTACAGCACCATTGAGACAGAAGTATCCTTCGTCACTCACGATGACTCTGTTCCGAAAATTTGCTATTTGATTTTCGAGGTTGATATTGGGCGCGTTCAGCCGACGCAACATTTGATTCAAACCGAAAACATGTTTCTGATATGGTGGAAGTCAACAATTTAAAGTGCCTGGACGGTATAAGTTGGTTCAGCGATTAAAATTAAAATAATTTTTGGTTACAAAGCAAGGTCATGTAAAAATATACTTAAGTCATAATTAGTCATAACGGACATTTTTCGTCAAGGTTTAACTTTAGAATTTAAAAAACACCAAAATTCAAGTTCAAAGTTGAGAAACGAGAGGTTATAATCACAAATAATCAGCTTTATCAACCGAGTGGTGAAAAAATCAATAAAAAATCACTAGAAATCTCTAAATTAAAAATTCCTTAAGTATGCAACACTGGGTACAATACTTTGTTTAGTAATCAAAATTTTTCCATTACACATTCATTATTAATTTCCCATGTCTCTACTTTGCAGTTGTCAAAAAACTACATGGAAATGTCAACTAAAAACAAAATCGCAGACACCTACGTAACTTTTGCGCAGCCTGTTATTATAACAATATCATTAAAATTTTGAAAGTTATTGAAAATAAAACATTTTAACAGAGAATGTACTTGCAAGTAAGCCGAAAAAATAGGGCCGTTTTTAAAAGTCGATATTTTTTATTTTAAAAAGTGTCTTATTGTTTAGCCCACCTTTGTGCATATTTATTGGGACTTAATATGTTGTATACGATTTTTTAGGACACAGTTCCCTTAATTTTGGACGTTGAAGAGGAGTCTGGTGAACCATTGATACAGGTTAATAATATCATTACGAAAAAATTGAAACCTCATCAACGGGAAGGAATACAATTCATGTGGGATTCTTGTTATGAGAGTATAAAAATGATAAAAAAAGGAAAGTCTGGTTCTGGATGCATATTAGCGCATTGTATGGGTCTTGGTAAGACATTGCAGGTAATATTTTTTGTTAGGTATACAGCATATACATAGTCTTTTATGTTGAAAATATACCTACTGTTCGTTAAACATTCGCGAAGATATCTTATAAAATTTTTGTTTTAGGTTTTAGCTTTATGTCACACTTTGTTTTTCCATAAAGAGACAAATACCAAACATGTTTTAGTCGTTTGTCCGTTATCTACTGTGAATAATTGGAGGAATGAAACCAAATTCGCTTTTCAAGGCTTAACAAAAGATCAGCAGTTTAGCCTCTTCTCCATAACGTAAGTAAAATTTTATGTAGTCTTTTACTTTATGAATAAACCTGTAATTTTGCTCAAGGTGTTTTCAAATAATTTCTTATTAGACCCTGTTAGCTTTTAAATTACTTATCAGTCATTTAAATGTTAATAGTGTTTATACAATATAAAGTTTTTCCAGTGAATAATTTTCTCTTAACGGTTACAAAACTATTTAAAATAATTAAATGATTTCGTTAAATGATTTCGTGTAGTGTCTTTGGAACTCTTATTGAAAAATTACCTGTACTTATTGTTTTGAATGTTTTATGTTTTACACGTTAGTCGGTACCTAACATAAAAATCAGCTGTTGGTCATACACTTGATTGAAGTATTTAGTGTTAGCATCCTAACTGCTACTCGGGTGCATACGATGTTACCAAATTTACACCACACACATCGATAATTAATTGGAAAATGCGTTATATAATTTTCTTGTTTTCAAAAAGTCATGTGAATAAATCTAACTTTCTACCGAAAACGAGTAGCAATGAAAGCGCCAAGCACACTTTTCAAAAAAGTTGCTGATTGTTCTGAATAACTAAGATTAGGATTTGAATGTCATTTTGACAATTCAGTTTAAAAGCAACTGGATAGGCTCCACAAGCAAATTATTAGAGTACATTGATCAATTACAAAATTATATGGAATCGAAAACATAATAAACATCATAAAGTTACTTACATTTTAATATACAAGTTATATTATTTAGGTCCATATTTTAATGTTTGATTCTACGTCTGCAAACCTTAGCCTTAAATGTCAAAACTTGAAGTGCGAACAACAAAACGCTACTTATGTGTAACTTTTTGAAAGCACTTTACGTTTTTCAAATACGAACAGCACAGCATGTAGATAATACCAAAACATGAATTGTTTTTCGCGTTTCTAGAGAGACGCGCTGAGTGCCTTAAAAAACGTTGGTTAGAGAATAAGCCCCCCGATGTGCATTTTTCATTCCGTCTGTATTACTGAAATATAACGCACATCTAAAATATTGTTTGTAAAATTGACGCTTTATTTATAACAAATAATTAGAAGAATTTTGTCGTTTGAATTAGTTGATAGATATATTTTGTTGTGTAAAGATAAATTTTCAATTTAAATTAGTATAAGTGTTTTAGGGCCAATCTTTTCACCTCTGAGCAAAGTTAAAAGTAGCTACTTGCTGATTAAACTATAGGGCTATTGTTTGTTTATCTGTCAAGTAAACCTACATGTAACTTTACTCAGAGGTGAAAAGATCGACTCTTAATTAAAAACAAGTATTTGAAATAAATTACTGTTTAGTTGTAAATAAATGAGTGAATATTTGTAAATGAATTAAATAATAAACTGTTTTAACCCTTCATCAGCCTCGTCTGAGGTACGTACAAGAAAGTAATGTTTATTTCAGTAAAATAGTTACAAATAAAATAATTCAAAAGCAATACAGAGTGCGTCACGCTCAACGGGACGGAGCGTGGTGGGGAAATTACCAAATATATTAAACATTCCTTTGGCACAAATATATAACTTGATAAATTGCCGATTTATTTGACATTTTTGAAACTGTAGTGTTGGTGAACTTAATTAATTACTCTTAATTACAAAATAGGTACCTAAATAAGTAAACGTAATATAAATTCACATTAATTACATAAATTATTGGTTCTAACAATAAAAATAGGAATATTAAAATGCCATTATAGGTCTATTGAGTTATACATGTTAATGAAGCAAAGTTTCTTGTTAATTCTAAGGAATTTGCTTTAAAATTACTATATAAATATGTATTGTTATTTAAACCTCTTTCACGGTAAATTAGATCCATTTTAACAACTATGTTATATTTCAATTCTCTCCTTTGAGCTTTTTTAATATCCTGAAAATACCATTAGTGTTCCAAATAATATGCAATTATGATAACTGGAACAAACAAGTTAATTGAAGCGTAATTTGATAGGTATAGGTACTACATTAGTAAAGCTTCATTATTATACAGTGCTTAATTTTTCGTGTTAGGCATACAACTAGTATACAAGTTAATAAAATGGCAACAGCCAGTCGACTAGAATTAGAAGATATGGTGGTGAGATATTAGCCGAAGCGAATGTGAGGCACAAAGCTAGAGAGCGATAGCGGGGATATCATAGTTGCCACATGTTCACTTTAAAAGCACGGATATGCCTAATAAAAAATGATAATGTATAAAGCCATACATTTTTTAAAAGATCTAATACTTTATGTCCATATGATTAAAAAAGTTAGGTTTGAATTAAATATAATTCATATATTGTCATTTATGATTATTGTATATCTCTAGTTAACAATTTTGAATGAACTTAAAGAACTACTTATAAAACTTAACATTTTTAACAATTAAATAATGTTATCGTTACCGTTCAAATTTCTTTGAATTTCGTTACAATCTTCCACACTTTGAACACTTGAGCATATTTGCAGACAACTTTTCTACATTAAACAAAATATTTATAAAAAATTGGCATAATAAGGGTTCCAGATTGATTTCTTATGGAACCTCATCAGTAATTGAAAATATGGTTTGTAATTAAAAATAATAACCGCACTAGAAAAACCTAAACTTAACAATTATAAGACCATGTTTCTATGATCAACCTTATCCAAAGCCTTAGAGCTCTTTATTTATAGATATAATATCCACTTGCTCTTGGTTATCCTAAACATGAACACATGGAGGTAGAAGGTAGGGAGACGCTGTCACGTGGTCCAAGACGGGTTCACTTCCGCCATATTAGATTGACAAATACTTCAAACAGCTAATCGTGGTTTCAATGAACGGTTTTTCAATTTTTATGTCGTTTGCAAACTATATATTGTACATATTAAAAATTAAACATTGGTTGCTTGTGCTAAACGTATTTTTAGCAACCTAATAGATATTTATATGAAGAAATGATCTGAAATAACATTCCACAACTAAATATACAACATAGTAAACAATGTGCAGGGTCGTATTTGAGATATTTATTGTGCTTTGAGTGAATGTGTTGTAACCATATTAGGGTTTTGTAAAGATGAATTAAAAATGAGAGAATTTGTTGCAGTTGGTGCAAAAATTAGATTTAAAATAATCATAAATATTCTCTTTGTTATCTTAAATTCTATAAACTTACTTCAGTTTCATTATAAAAAGCATTTGTCTCTAAGAAAAATATGAAAGTATAGAAACTTCTTTAAATGACATGGATAAGTATATTTCTTCCAACACTCTACAGTTTTTACCAATGTATAAAATATCTCAAGACTACATAGAATTATTCTTTGGCTGCATTCGCTCACATGGAGGCCACAACAATAACCCCACCGCCCGACAATTTCAAGCAGCTTATAAGAAAATATTAGTACATGTCGAAGTACGTGAAAGTTTTCGTGAAAATTGTATTCCGCTAGAAGAGCTCCGAATTTTAAAATGTCCCGTTCAACAAATTAACGAATCTTCAAGAGACTACAGGGCTCTTGGTTTATCAGAAAATTACTACAGTGTGCTAGATAATACTGAGTATGATCATGATTATTTACCAAACCCTACGCTATCGGAATTTACAAAATATATTGTAAAGTATATTATACTATACTATACTATATTCTCTTTAAAAAAAAGCTTATTTGTGAGGAATGCGTAAATTCTTTATGTGCAGACCAGAGAGACCTACAAATATTTTCATTTATAGACAAAAAAAATAAAAAGAGCCTACAGTATCCCTCTGTGGATGTGATAGACGTTAGTTCAAATTATCATCTTAATTCTGTAGACTCTATTATATCTTCAGTGTTAAAGTCATTTATAAATAAAAATATATTTGCAAATTTGATAGCCCACGGTTTTGATCAGGATCCATCAGATAACCATAGAGTTCTGTTAATAAAAGCTTTAGCTACCAAATACACAAACATTAGTATGTGTTACCTTATTAAAAGTAAAATAAAAAAATGTGATAGCATAAGACATCACAATAATAAAATTGTATTGTTTAAGGGTCAATAAACATAATTTTTATATTGGATATTGATTTTGCCGTTATATATTTTCTATTAATACCTTAACAACTGTTTGATTATTTTATGTTAAACCGTAACTGATAAACCATGACATATAAAATGAAATGAGGAATTTTTATTTATTTTTTTAACTATGTTACAGAAAGTCTCCTTTTACTTGCATTTTAATAATTTCTTAATACTTTTATTAAAACTGTTAATAATTATCCGTTTTATGACAATTAATTTATAACTTACAATTAATTAAAAAAGCAAATTAGGGTTTGAGTTGCATTACCAATAGTCCGGCCCTGGCAGAACGGCCATATTGGAATGACTGTCACCACGACTAAGTGATACCGTTTTGAATGTTTGAAAAAGATGCTCATAGCGTCTCCCTACCTTCTACCTCCATGCATGAACAGAAATATATTCAATTAAGTATAAGTTAATATTCATTCAATGATTATTAATAAAACTTTGATGATATTGTGAAATATTATCCAGGAGATAGCTAAATAAATGCAATTGCAAAGAAAAATAATAAAAATTACACAATAATGACATTGTTCTATAAATTGCCGTTTGATTTCATCATACTTTTAAATATGTTGTACATACTATTGTTTCTTTACACAATGGGCCATGTTCACATGTGAGATATGCTGTTTTATAAATTATATTGTAATAGTTAGTCGCTATACAAGTTATTCTAAATAGTCAGTTCGTTAAAAAAGCCAAAAGTTTTTAAATTAAGCCCAATTGAAATTTAAAATTTGAAATTATACGTCATCGGGAATAGACCAATCATCTTGTGTCGAAGTTTTTTTTGTTATACAAAACCAAGCCAACGAACAAACCGACTCACAGAATGTCGAAGTGAACGCACATCTAAGTGACATTAAAATTGACAGCACCTAACCTTAGTTTTTTGTTTTGGTCAGGGCTGGTATCCAGCCCTGGTTTTGGTTTAATTTTATTA